AAACAATTAGGTAAAAAGATTAACATTAGGGCTGATTTGATATCTAATCTGATCAAATGACATAACCCCGAAGAGGACTAAACGATTAGCATTCTGCGAGATTATCTAACATGACATTGTTTTTAATGTTCATCGATCGATTTTGAACACTAAAATGGAACTAAGCAAACAGAAATCACAACACACTGTGTTTGCATCCATATCATTGATGAGAAAATGACTGGCAGTAACCCTAGACCAACATAATTCTATTTAAATTTAGATTGTACAGTATTTGGCTAGTCTGTATTACAAACATTGTAAGCGTATCAGTATATAATTGTGGATATAATTGAGTTATTTATTGAGATCATAAACTAGTCAATGTTAGATCATTATTAAAAACCTGGAAGAATTGGATAGCTGTTTCATTCAAGTATGAGTTTCCGCAGCAGTGCGCGTCTACGATCCTGCCCGCACTATTTGAACCCTAGGCTTTCAGTCTCACGTAAATATTTAACCTCTAGATCACCGAGTTGACAACCAACAATGTTAACGTCTAAATTCAACCATTCCACGATGTGGTGCGACCATCTTTCTAGTCAAAAGCTGTGACTAATGGAGCTAATCCATGTCGAGTGTGAGGCAGCTACCCACTGAAGACAATGGAAGATTGTTGAGCGAATTGGTGGATTGGTTGAGGTTAGATAATAAAACCGTTTGATCCTAGTTCAATGATTTAAAGGTTAAATGTTTGCGCGAGACTGTAGGTTTTGGGTTTGAGTAGTGCGTGTAGGGTCGTGGATGTGCACTGCTGAGGTGTCCCATACTAGGATGAATCTGCCGCTCAGTGCTTCCAAGTTTTCGCTGGTGGTTTAACATTGATTGGTTCATGATATCAGTAAAAAATTGTAATTATAATAGGTATAAGTCACTTAGAATCAAGAAAAAAATTATGAGTTCTCGAATTAAATTCAGAGATGAATTAATCTATATAACATAAATAGTACAATAATGAAATCTTCGAACATTGGTTAAGATGCTCAAAGTTTTCATGGAAGATTTCACTTTTTGACGATAGTTTAAAAGTGGTACCGTTAATGTTATCAAGTAACCACTCTATTCTATGTAGATTGTATATTAGACGAAGTTCAATCCTATCGATAAACCGAAATCCTAGTCTTAATTCCTAGCCTAAAACTCCAACGCTAATCCTATAACGGGTAAAATCGATGTCATATAGACATACGGTTGAATTTACATATCACTTTTCATGTAAAATACATGTATCTTATTTCTATAATTACTTTCCAAATAAACTATTCATTCTCAATGACTGTTTTCCCAGTATTATTTGAAAAATCGCTCAACTCCACCCTGTCCTATAGATCAGCTACTTTAATGATTTTAACTGCAACACTGAATCATGGGTATTGGATTTTTTTTAAAAAGTTAAAATATTATGTCTACTGAATCAATTTTATTGACTGGTGTCACTGTGAGACAAGAATAGTCTAATAAGCAACACATTTTTGCCTTACGTACTACTAACAGTTGTTTCATATAATATTTGATCAGTAAAATGTAAACTGATCTAAACACTGGATAATAATTATACTAGTCATGTTGATATTCCATGCAATAGACTTCGAAAAATGGATTATATCATGACTTGTGCGTATAACCATAACAACAATGGTATGTAGCATATCTACATTGCTATCAAATTTTTTACTTTGGATTCAACCTTTAAAAAAAAGGTGGAACATAAATGACAAGAGTTATGACTACGTGGTTATGACATTGATCTCTCAGCCAACAAAAAACTGGGTTTGAACCTATCTTTGCCTAATATATCTTAAGGAATTGGGTAGTATTACAGCTCTTCATACAGAAAAGTTTTGTTAAAAATTGAGTACGCAAATCTGTAATTGATAAATGTGTAACATTTAAGTTCAAAAGAAATATAGGTGCTAGATAATAATAAGTGAAGAAACCACTAGCTTCTTCCGAAGATTAATAGAAGGAAAACAGCTTTTTTTCAAAAGAAATTGCGTACACGCACAAGTTTGTTCAAACTCCTGTGTATGTCTAAGCAAGAATAGATGTTAAATAGACATGGTTGTACAACTACTTAATATTTACAATAAAATCAAAGATATCAAGGGTTTCTTTAGGAAGGAACGAAATACGTAACGAATAGGTAAAAAAACGCAGTCGATTTTGACTGTAATATTGTTCAATATCATATACTGTTTCTTGTGAGAATAGTTAAAAACTAATTTAAGAGGAAATATAAAATGATTTTAAGTATACAACTTAAAGTTTATTAAAGATTTAGAAATAACCTTTCGAAAGAAATTCAACACTACAATATACTTCCAATAGTGGCACTATAAATATAGATTGTTTAATGTTTATTTCTAGTTGACAAATAACTTTGTTAAATCATCATTATGTTGTAATTAGACCAAAAGGGAATTATTATCAGAATGAGGATTTGTGGAGATTGTAGTAATTTTAATGGTTAAACTCATGAGTTAATCTAGGCTAGACAATTCTTGAAAACATGGAAGCATTGAACAGCATGCGTGATCCTGAATGCGCACTGTTAAGAAATCCCATACTAGGACAGAATGGCCATCCAGTGCTTCCAGGTTTGCATTGGTGGTCTATCTCAGATCAACTCATAAGTTTAACTATTAAAAGAGAATGGCTTCAAATACGTTTGTATAAACTTCTAGCTTAAGTAACATATTGGATGAAAATAACTACACTTGATAATTCTGTAAATAAATTCAAAGAAATCGTTTCTCTAGAAAATATTATCTTTTATTTAACAAATTCTTATTTGTATCAAAAGGGGTTTTATAGAGATTGTGGTAATTTCAATAGTTGAGACCATGAGTCAGTTGAAGCTAGACCACCATGGAAAACCTGGAGGCACTGGACGGCCGTTTCGTCCTATTATGGGACTCCTCTGCAGTTTACATCCACGACCCTGCTTTGAGGGACTCGAACCCATTATCTAGCTGTCATATTTGTTTTCTTAAATGTTTCCACATAATATTTTTCAGTAGTAATCCATTACGTAATTAAATAATAACTTTTATTATGAATTATTATCATTCAAGAAAATCTGAATTCTATACTCGCATGATATTGGGACTTACAGACATATATATATATATATATATATATATATATATATATATATATATGTATATACAAACTTTTTGTTTTGATGAAGACTAAAATGAGAAGTTTAATAATATACACTGGGTATATTGATCTCTCTCATATCATCAGTATATACATATTAGTAAATGAATAGTAGTAATAGTAATAATATATTCAGATATTTTTCTACGTCGAACATAAACGTACATCATAGTAACAATGTAAGTGCGTCGGAATGAAAGTAATAAGTATCTTATATTTGATTAAATTATCATTAACAAAATATCATGAGGATTTTCTTTACTTTTACCAAGCAAATACAATAAACATTGTGGAATGAAGTGAATCCATTCAATTTTATCTGTTCTAAATCTTTTACATACTGATTTATATAAATAAATATGATTTTGTGTGGAACATGTATAAAGTCACTAAATACATTGATGGAAAGTAATTATCGTTATAATAAATAGTTTACATATTCATACAAATATTACACCTCACCTATACTTGAATCTGGTTAAGTTTAATTTTGTTAAGCCTTTCAATTAACTTATTTAACAGATAGTTTCATTCGAACAGTAATGATTTGTCTATACCTTTGTATCATTACTATTATGTCTGTATGATCATGTATGCTTGGTCATGTGTAACACCTACATACATCTCTCTCACGGACCTAAACGTTAGTCGCTTATATATATATATATATATATATATATGCTTGAATCATATCAATTCATTCGTCGCTTTGATTGCTACTGTATTCGTTCGCTCTCATTCACTCCCATTCTTATTTCTGCTCAAATTCACTTTATGTGTTTGTGGCTTAGTGATTTGTGTGATGCAATAATAAACTGTCGCTTACACTTCATGTTGTCTATGGAAATTTATACACCATTGTGAGTTATTTAATAACGTTATCTGGATGAGTGATATAAGAAGCTTTGGAAATTATCCCGAAGCTAATCCGCTACACAAGTTCAGTGTATAAATGGATGGAATAGGTGAACAAGAAGCCATGACGTAATCGAGTACAAGAAACAAGAATGATAATAAGTAATAACAAACCTATACTAAGAATTTTTCACTAGTAAATTTAATGATTGTGGGCATCTTACATTTAGAAAACTTTTATTTATTCATATAAATCAGTGCATGTGCGACAGATTCACGAAACATGAAATAAAAATAAGTCACTTCGTTTTATAATGTCTTTTGTTCTAATTAAACAAAAGCTTATCAAACGAAGCGATTGCATGAAACTATACTTTCGTTTTAATCTTTAAGTTGTATGCGAATTAGTAACAACGAAGAGAAGCTCAAGGAGAAATAGTCGCATAAAGCGACTGAAATAAAGATTGGCCTTTGAAGTCATCCGTCAGTAACTTATAAGATCTTTCTCATCAGGTTTTTGTTCATATTGTCTTATGGTTGTAGCAGTTTTATTGGACAATCTATTATGTTGGTGAACGGATTCTCACTAACCACTTGGTTACTTCTTTTAATTGTAATATTTAATTACTTAAAAATTTATGTAAATAGTGTTAGTTTTCCTAAATATTAGTTTTTTTGTAGTCACAGATCAATTTTTTGCCTCTTGATAATTCTTAGCTCGAGGTGATGTAAGGTTCTGAAGTGAAGTAGGGATAGGAGAAAGTCATCATATTTGTTGTCGACCAGGAATAAAATCCATTTCAATTATCGTATTTAATTCCTTTCGGCCATATCAATATATTTTTCATTTTCAGTTCACTTGGTGAAATAAATGTTACAATAGTCTTACTATTTTTTTGTTATTCAATAAATCAATACACACTTTGAAAATTATATAAACTTACGTCAATGGCTTCCATTTCTGCATCATTTTGATTTAAAACCATTTGTTGTAAACTATCACGATTTAAATTATCTTTTGATACAGTAATTCGTTCCATACTATCTTGTGTTTGCATAACTGAACTGCCACTGGATCCAGCTCTTTCAAGTAATTTATAGTTAGTTAATTTTTGTTCATTCAAGTCTATATCATTACCAAATGAACTATGTCGTGAATGTGAAATTGTTAATATATTATTCGAATGATGATTTGGTACTGATGGGATTAAATTTGCAACTGTTTTAGTCACTTCATCTGTACGCTCATCTAACCAATCAGATAAAACATTTGCTTCTTCTTCGAAATGTCTCCAATATAGTAAAACATTTTGTAAACATGCATAACGTGTATTTACCCAACTAACTAAACGACTCCAACGAGTAGCTAACTCAGCAATTACATTTTCCACACCACGTTCATTTATATAATTATCTTCATTATCTGTTGTTTTTTGTGGAACAATAGTTATGAAATTATCTAAACGTTCTGCTAATGCTTCACCAGATTCAATTAACTGTTCTAAACATCGATTTGCTTCTAATTGCTTTTTAATATCGGCAATTGACGGACCAATTTGTTGATTCAATTGAAGAGTTCTAAATGTGCATTTTTTAATACAAAAAAAGGATTATGGTGAAAATTTGCAAAGAACATCCAGTTGCATAAATCAATTTCGATCAAAAATTTATTTAATGAAGTTAAAATTGTATTCCTTTACCTACTCACAAAGATACTAGTAGTTTGCTAACCATTTAATAGAAAACGAGGTTTGGTTTATGATGACATAGATACAGTTATTAGTGTAATTTATTTTGACTATACATTAGGCAGACATATGTAACAGGTTCTGGCAATCAGCCCATTACTGAAAACTTTATTTGGAATAAACATGATCCTATTCGTGTTTTAAAAACTCATAAGAATTAGCCTTTCTACATTAGTAGTCGCTTAAATGTTAATTATGCGAAAGTATGAAAAAGGATTAAAAATCTCAAGTAATCACATATAGTTCAAGAACGAGGGAAAATGTATCCTACTATAAAGGTCCTTAGGAAAGGCTTCACATAAATGTAGTATTCTCAATCGGCCATTAGAATCTCGTTCAGTCTAATCAAGTTGATATTACGACTAGAAATGTATGACGCTACAATATCAATCAATCAAAGTATTTTTTAAAATAATAACTCGCTTGTTATGAACGGCCAAACAACTAATTGTCATAAATAATTAATTTTTACGTCGAAATTTCATGTCAATTTCAATCCTAGTAAATTGTAATGATATTTTAAAATTCTAGGTTTTCATCATTTTATTGTTAACATAAGGTCAACTCTTATATCTATAGACATGTAACCATGACTATCCAGGAATTATACTTGAATGAAGCCTTTCATGCTTTATTATATTAGTGATTTTTTAATATTTTATTAAAATAAACGAACAAACTTACTGCTCATTTTCCAATTTATCTAATTGTATACGTATAGCACTTAAAAGCATAGTTTGTCGTCTAAGTAAACTTGCTGTTATACGTTTACCTACAGCAGTATTTAAACGACATAGATTATTCCATCTTGTTGCCAATAATACAGTTTGTCGTTGAATAACAGAAGGATCCAATTCACGAAGTTTTTGCTGTATAATTATTTGTCTCTGTTTTTCCTCCATATTCTCAGAACTCTCGTCATCGCTAGCTTCAACACCTGGTTGAATGCTGTTTGATTCCTCTTGATTTAACATTTCATTATTTTTCAGAATATTATCTAAGTTTTCATGTGTTTTTATTAAACGGTTACCAAGACGTAGACAGCGCCCAACAGCCATTTGACGGCGTGATAAATGAGCAGTTAAATCCTAATTTAATTTTATTGATGATTAGAAGAGAAGAGAGAAAAAATAGCCACTAAATAAAGTATTTAAAGACAATTACGAAACAATTAAGAGAAAAATAGAAATTCCTATCGTTTCACTGCAGAAATATTAGTGTTTGCAAAAATCAATGAACTAACGTCACAATTTATCTTTTAACGCGAAATGTTTCCATCATTTAACTGTGATGTAGTTATGCTTAACACTAAGGATTAATGAATGTTTTTCATGTAAAAATATATGGCATAATAGACTAATCAATGGTGCGAACAAATAGCAGTTACACATAATTTTACAGTAGATAATCGTTTTTGATAAGAGTAGCAACCAAATAAATTACGACTTTCAACTATAGTCTACATTTATATTCTTTGTCATAGCTTTCGTTCACGATTCTTAGGTTTAATAGCTCTTATTAGAAGGATTTTTACATACTACAAAACGAAAGAATTGAAATCCTCACCGTTAAGTATTTGTTTCATTATATGAAAACAATTTCTCATCATCAAGTCTGAATATCCTGAAGTAAATCCATTTCAAGTAATATCCAGGAACTTGAAACGGAAAAATATGATCACTGAAATATTATTTTGCAGAGCTTCATGAACTTTGGGTTTCTTGTGAACATTTTTTTAACTTGGAGAGACTAGAAAATGGACTAGTTAAAAGATAATGACTAATAATCCAATGTATCAACTTTGCCTTTAATATAATTCTGAGTGATTCTTCTGCTTATACATTATGGTCACTAAGCTAAACCACTGAATAATAAAATTCAATCCATTTGATTATCACAAATAATATTCTGATGTGGATTTCATATTTAGTTGAATTGCTTATCTGTAGGGACGAACCGATGATCTTCAGAAGACCTGAACTCGGGTCAACCAAATTTCATTTACAAGCTTCATTATTCGGTTATTTAATCCACAAATAATAGCCTTAATTATAAAAATCACTTCAGTGGTGGATTAATCCATAATAGCTAATAGCAAGTTATCTAATTTCAGTTGCCAATCGTGTTTCCTAGTTGGCCTCTTTTGTGAGCACAAAATTAAAAGTGGTTTAATAGTGTATACTAATAACCAGTCACAGAAAACCCCACGAACACGCACTCAATCAGACAAACAGAAACTTTTTTAAAACTTACCTCATGTGTTTCAAACTTATCTCTGGCTTCATCAATGTTTTTTAAAATTGCTGCGTGCATTAATGTTGTTTCATTTGAGTTGGCTCTTTGAAGACGCAGAATGAAATTTTTATCTTCTTCATTATGCACTGATTGTAACTGATCATTTTTAGTCATTGTATAACTACTACTCGTAAAATTACGCGGATCCTCTTGTAGATCGTTTTGCCCAAATTGTTCTTCCATAGCCAGTAACCATGCTAATGTAGTTTCAATTACTGTACCGAAATGATCAGGATCAGGTAGACGATTTATATCACCAGTTTCGTCATCTGAATCACCTTCAATTTCATCATCAAGCCAAGAAGTTTCCGAAGTACTGCATGTTGATGTTGGTGAACATCGACTTTCAACTATAACATTTGGTTCTTCATTTGACTGTCCATGAATCTAAATATTTTTAGTTTCAGATTAAAAAGAAACGAACTGGCTTTATTCAGTCAGAAGATAAAAAACGCTTAGTTAGTCAAAGTCAGTAGTACTAGAGGTTTTGAGGCTACCTAAATAAGAAATTGATAGCTAGATTTAAAGAGAGAATTTCACGGGAATGAGAGTAACTTGGTTATTTGTATCTGATCAAAGCTAAATTCGTATTTATATTTTATCATCTTACTTGCATATTAAGAAAAATAAGATCATGAGGAGTAACTGTCTGAAATCCAGTTAATAGTAATAGGGTTTTATAGCTGCATCTGTACATCAATGAAACAATGGTTCAAAAATAAATAACTCAAAATCTTTTATGATGTACATTTTCCCTCTTCATATATAACCACACTATTTCTACATCAATAAACTAGATCACGTACCGTTTCTAACATGCGAGTAGTTTATTAAAGAAACTAATTTGTCAGAAGTTTCAGTAATATGCACCAAATGAAAGGTAGATTGTTCTACTTTTATTTATCATGTTTTAAATATTTATCATATTGATCGCATTGAATTCCTTGTAAATTTAGAATATTTCAAATGTTGAATTCCTTGTGTTGAGCAAAAACAATTTATGTCATGAAAATTCTTGTTTCACTGACAAATGTTCATTGAAACGACATATCTAATATTTAGTTAAAAACTATAGACAATACATTTCTTTCGGCATTAAGATCTAATACCCTATTATAAATTTTCGAGAAATCTGAATAGGATTTATTTGATTTATAGCAACTCACGTGCAATTAAGTTTGCTCTCATCTAATTCGGTTAAGCCCTTTTGTTAACTTATTTAGCGGACAAAGTCATCTGTAGTAATAACAACTTATTGTACCTTTATTATTGTTATGCTTGTACGAATTAGTATGCTTGAACATTGTTGACTGCCCACGCATATATTCATCCCGCTAGCCTTATTATTAGCCGCTTAATCGATTCGACAATCCATTCATTTTTCTATATATACATGTATATTTAACACTACACATTCTCAATCTGCTGACTTATTCGCCTCTCTGCTCTGTGATTTGAATTAACTGCTAATAAACCTGTAGTAGCTGCTTCTCTTCGCCTTCTGATTTCAAATAGCGTTGGGGATTATACGATAACCGTTACGAGGGTGATTGGTCAACGAAGCACAGCCACTACCGTTTTTTTATAGTTCAAGTCAAGACCGCACATTATTATTTATTAACTGATCCCATAAGTTCATTTGTTTGTCTTAGGAAATATAGATGTAACAACAAGAGGGATCAATGAATATTTGTTTCAGGTCCTACGTTGATAATGATTGGTGTTTAATTGATTTTACTTGTATCGTTCTACTAGCATTGGATCTGTTTTCTTAAGGTTAAAATAGGTCCTCGGTTCGAATCCCGAGGAGCGAATCGTGGATGTACACTGCTGTTGAATCCCACAATAGGATGAATCGCCGTCCAGTGCTTCCAGGTTTTTCATGGTGGTCTAACTTCAATTGACTCATGACCTCAACTATTGAAGTTAATTTGTTTGTTAAATTTATATTTCTTCTACTGAAATTTTCAGTTTACCATGTTAGTTTTAAGTTGATAATTCTCTCTAATTTTAACTTTATCTTGAAAAAACATTTTAAAAAAATATTTTTATACATGTCGGTTTATTTTATAGCATTAGGAATTAACTTGATTTAGAATTATTAATGTTCCAGTTGATGAATGAGATCTGTTGAATATCATTCTGTATCATCTGAAACTAGAAAATATGAACGATTCGATAAAAATCTTCTCCAGAAATAACAAAGTATTCACAATCTATCTAATTGAATCAACAAATAACTGAATCTATAGATATGTCAAATTTATATTACTGGTTGAAATCATGAATCCATTGAAGCTAGACCACCATGGAAAACCTGGAAGCACTAGAACGAAACGGCCGTCCAGTGTTTCCAGGTTTTCCATGGTGGTCTAGCTTCAATGGATTCATGAGTTCAACCAGTGAAATTTCTAAACTCTCCACATAATCCCTTCTGAAAATTTATAGTAGTCTGATTATCTTTGTATATCTTGTCTTTTTTTTAGTGATTCCTAAAAGAATGATAAGTAATTGAACGAGAAATCTTGTACAGTGTTATAACATCGGTTTTGGAAAGAAAAACATTTTTAACACGGCAAACAACTTACCATAGCAGTTGTTTGTATTTCTAGAATACCTCTAGAACGACGCTTTCTATCTCTTTCAACCGCTTTACGTAATTCTAAGAGATAAACAGCAGTCGATCTAGCATCAATATTCTCAGGACGCATATCCACCGGTTCTAGTAGTCTCGGAGTGGCGAATTCAGCTGTTGCTAAATGAAATGCAAGTGATAAATTTTGATTGGGTGTTTTTTCTAATCGAGATTCAAACGTAAACAATTCCGATCTATAAAAATTAATGATTAAAAGGGAAAAAAGTTTTTAAAAAAAGGGTCATAGCAAAGATGAAAAGAAAACAGGTACTTTCTTTCACAGACGATAGCCATCCATGTGTCATGAATCGACTAAAGTTGTAAATATAAACTATTGAATATTAATTCAGTGGATTATAAATAAATCATTTCATGTTCCATCTGCTGGGGTGGTTATGAGTGTACGACGCTGTGGAGTCTTACACAGAAACGAAAAGTTGTACGGTGATCGTGGTATTCTGTGATTGTCTAGTTTAGTTAGTCCATCAAATGAACTACAAAAATACGTTATTTTAATTTCAAAAAATAAATTAAAGATTGTTATGATAAGAATTATCCTGATATTGACTAAATTGGACTTTTATTGTATTAAACCACCATTGTTCATCCAAACATGTTGAGTTTAATTATTTAACTGCATCACTTACAAAGACAACTTGATTTTGCTAAGTATCAATTAGTACATCATTTTATCACTATTATGCGATTAGTTCCCTTTGCGAATTTAAATAAAGCCAGAACGAACACTGATGCAGAATATTAATTCATTATATTTCGTCATTTCCCATCAGCTGCTCACAACCAAATATGTATTAGGATTTTATATTGAGGTGAGATATAGTGTAGAACAAATGACATAAGTGAATGTAAATAATTGGAATGACCAAGGATATCAATAATAACCATATATATATATATATATATATATATATATATATATATATATATATATGCAAGAATAGGTCAGAGGTTATTCGGTGTTAGAATCAAGCAACATTAGGGATGGGTGATGTAACAGTTGAGTGAAGTTCAGAGACAGATAAGATGAATTATGTGATAATTTTAGAGGTAATGAAGGATTAACATAAGATTCATGAAATTAAAGACTGGTAAGATGGGTTACGTAGTAACTGAATAGGATTTGAAAAGTTCACATAATTTAAGAGAATCAAGTGAATGGAAATGTATCAGTTAAAGGGTGGTTATGATAATTACCAATTATGATAATAACCAACAGTATCGACATTGAGAAAATAGAATGTAAGTAGTAAACTAATGTTCTTAATTGAGTTTGAATTCTTTTTAAGTTTTTAAAAATGATTTTGTTTATTTAATCTCAACAAAACGTTATTTGAATGTATATGTTTTGATAGCGGATAGGAGGAAGGTACACAGTATACATCGTAGCAATGATCTTATGAAAACTTATTATTTCCATTCCTATCTTTGAAATAAGAAATTGTTCATATATAGGAATTATGAAAACCCGTTGATGTTTTACTTCAATTTATGGGATTTATAAGAAATCCATAACTGAAACTGTAAAAACAACAACAATTTCGCCAACCAAACTAAGATATTTTAGTCCATATACAGTTCGCTTTTGAGTCCGTTATACTATATGTCTGAGTTTGAGTTGACCATATCAAATTGATGAACGTACACAGAAACTATGTAAATAATTTATAAGATTATCAATTACGTAGTGCAAGAGCTAGTAAAACTCCAATTTATTGACTGTCCTAAAACTATATACATTGGTAGTTTTTGAGACACGTTAGCCTCATCTTTCAATCCGTTGTGTGGTCTGAAGTGTTTGGCTCTAGTAAGTTTTAAACTAGAGTAAAAGAATTATACAGTGTTTCCTTTCTATATATAATTTCGTGAAGAAACCCATTGAAAACTCCCCTTTAATCTTTACTAACAGTTTCTTTTTTCATGAAAGCCTTAAAAATTTTTGTAACCGATTTTATTTTAACAAAAACAAAATGTTAGTTAATGAATCATAAATTAACCTTTTTGTTACCATCAATATAGCACCTATGAATCATCAAAAAGTTTAAGTATTAATATTGTGTCCATAAATGAAGTGACCTGTTTGTTTTAGAATAAATAGATTACTGTATCCAGTTTGTTTTTGGCCCCAGTTTAGTGTCACAAATACAAACATATGTTGAATGTAACTGCGTAAATAACTATCCAGTTATCAGAATTCGTCGTCTGGTGAACATATTTGTTTTAGAACATTAACACAATTATTATTAGACTAGACAACAAAAAGAAAAATAATAAGTTACTTCTTTTCTTCACTGATTACAAATAATCCCCCCCCGCAAATAATAATGTTATGAATCGATTCAAATACATTAAATGTTTAACTATTATAAAGGAATGCCATATTTAAAAAGGAGGATGACATCAGTGTGTTGGGAGAAAATAACGTAATCCTGATCGATACAATCTTGTTTATTGTGTAGTTTTCCAATAAGTTTAAGTTCATTGTAGAATTTACGTAGATTTGATAAGATTTTAAAGTATCTAGTTACATGTAAAATCAACTAGTATTCAGGGAGAATCATAAACTTGAAATAAGCAATAGATATGTAATGTATGATTTTCATTCTTTTATTCTGCAATCAACTAGTAGTGAATGAACTAACTTCAAATCTGACTCAGTAAGTTGTAATATGTTAAAAATGTCAAGACAATAATTGGGTTAAGAAGTAGCTACAGTTTTAAGTGTCTAGTCAATGCTTAACACCAAGTCAATGTAAATGATTGTGAATTAACCTACTCTAAGCTGTGAGAATACGGTTTTTAAGTACAACGGAGACCAAAGGAACTCATTCAGTTAAAGCTATTTTCCTAACAAACAATTTTAAAAAGAAACTAAACTTCATGTGCTTAAAGATTCCTCTAACTGGTTTGATATTCTTACTTAATAAGTGTCTTTATCGCCGCCTACCTCAAAATTCATTGAATGAAGCGATGTGTGGACAAACGAAGACTTGACATTAATTCATGAAGTCAGTGACTTTCGGTAGGTGTAGACTACTTGACTTATTTTCGTACAACAACCATGAATAATATTTGAAGACATTGAGGGACATAGCTCAAAGTCAACCACAGTGGTGCTGACACACTCGATTTTTATTTTCCTTTGAATCTTGAGATATTGAATTATTTTTATTCTGTTACATCATGCCTGCGTTCAAATAATATCTCCTGTTTAGTCAGAATATCACTAATACTATTATTATCCCGACACCCTTCAACTTGTTGTGTTGAAACGGTGAAACAATTAAAGTCAAGGTATTGTTGACCCAGGTCCTGATTAATCGGTCGACTTAGTGAATTTTTTTCTTCTTCTTATTATTATGCGTTATACAACCTAGATTGTTTAACACCTCACACCTTTATTTCGTATGATATTTCTATTTATTTGACTACTTAACTAGACTTTTTAAATCTTTGCGCTCAATAATTATTACGCAATATTCTGACTAATTAACGTCACGTTTGAATTTATTTGATATTGAAACCATTGAGCTTTATAATAAACTATTTCCTAATTAATCAATATTATATCTACTGATCGTACAAGTAATGTTACACAAGTCATTACTAACTGATAAGCATTGATTTTATAATCGGTTTCTCTATATATATGAGGAATTGACCGAAGTATGGGACTCATCATCACTGTGTATTCATAACTCAATGAGACTTGGTCTCATACGAGGATCCAACATTTGTCCAGTGTTTCTAGATATCCAATATGTGTTTGAGCACAGTCTATGATATAGACTAGACAATTCAATAATTCTCATAATCCACCTTCCTCCATCAAATATATTTTTGTAGAGAAATGTTAGACAGTTAGATAAAAAGGAATATTTCTTAATTGAATTTCATATTCCCTCTGTAGAAAAATAAACTCTACAACTAGATTGTGATAAAAATACACTTATTACACAGATTCAAACAAAATTTCTTAATTTCAATTTCTTTTACCAGATTTGTATTATGCATTAAAAAAAATAAGAGAAAAATCAATGAGGCATACAGTACATCACTTATTTAACAATGAAAAAAGATTTGTATTATTTAAAAGGTACTTGTAATTGTTTTTTTACTGATAAACTAAATACATTTCGATACATTAGAATGACTTTATATTATTTATGAAGCTTAAACGTTTTATATCAAATTTTAAAGACATAAAATCAATTTAATTTATCATACTATGTTTCTGTTTTCCTTGCCTTTACAGAAAGAAAAACTATTAAATTTTTAGATCATTCAAGTAGATCTATGGTAATTCTTACTTATGAATAACTGGGGTACGATTTTAATGCAAACAACCAACACACAACATTTTAAAAAGTATTTCCAATGTTATGGAGGACAGGAAGAAATTGTGAGTTCAAGTGAAACTTAATACTTAAAAAAAGAAAATTTGAGGTCAGACAACTCTGTAAAACATGAGTTCAACCTGGTCTGTTGTGAGACAGTAACACACTGATGATGTGTCACTCAGTTTCGTGGATTGGTTGAAGTTAGAAAATAACATCGTTGAATATTGGCTCAGTGGTCTAGAGGTTAAGCGCTCGTGGTCGAGACTGTGAGGTCCTGGGTTCGAATCTTGCAAGGCGGAATCGTGAAATGTGCACTGCTGGAGAGTCTCACAATAGGAAGAAACGGCCGTTCAGTGTTTCCAGGTTTTCCATGGTGATCTAGCTTCAAATGACTCATAATTTCAACTATTGAAATTACTAAAATATCCACAAAACCCCTTCTGATAGTGAAATCAACAAACTGAAAATAACAATAATCTATCAAATAACACAACATTTTAGTGCAGTATTGTGAATCAGAAAAGTTATCACAGTTTTGAAATATCATTCTGATGTGGAATTATGGCTGTGACGAATGAATGTTTGCATTAAGTAATGTTTTCTTTTTCATTTTCCTCACTCACATTCATATTTTTGCACAATTCTTAACAATGTCTAGGTTCCATATAATGGTCACAATTCAGTTTAAATATGAATATTTCAAATTGATTGGGTAGATTAAAGTAATAATTAATTATTGGATGAAATGTTTTAATAGTTTAAGCATTCTAGTTCAAAACATTATTTTAGGTATTCAGATCCTAATCTAAACTATATTGATTACTGTGGTAGACAAT